TTATACAATTTTTTAAAAAATTATATATAAAATCATTTATTTTTATAAATAAAATCGAAATCCATTTTTATGTATATTTTTTTTTAATAATAATTATGTATTTAATATTTATAATATAAAGTTGTACATTATTATGATATTTTTTATATATAATTAATGATTTTGCAAGAAATATATAAAAAAAATTTGAAAAGATATTTACATGATATATATATATGATATTACAAACGCAAGAATTAATAAGTCATATTAGAAAATAAACTAATTTAAATAATACATAAAAATCACAAATAAGTAATGATAAATACTTATTAAAGATAATGAATAAAATAAAACTAATATATTTTTTTTAGAGATGCCATTTAGCCATATACTCCGAATATAAGCTATATTTAAAACAACACAGAAAATAACCTGCAATTCTAATAAATCATTTGATTTTATTTTTTTTCTTATTTGCAAATTTTCAACTCCCATTAACTATATTACTCTCCCTTCCCTGTTTAAGCTATTAATAGGTAAAAACTAATATTAAAATCCCTGGTTATTATAATTAATTTATTAATAAATATTTTATTAATTATTGCAAATAATTCTTATATGTGTTTGCTATGTTCTTCACAAATAAATAATAAAAACTGTATTTTATAAACTCATCTAATTTAATTGGTATTTATAATTTAAAAGGATCTTGTATTTAAGATACTCTAATTTAGTAAAAGATACAAGTATCTTTTATCTTGTATCTTTTGGATATTTTGAAAAAGATACTAGTATCTGTATCTAAGATTCATTTTTTTATAAAGAATCTGTATCTAGATTCTTTTTCTGGAGGACCTGCCCAACTCTGTCAATTGATAATGGTTTTTAAAAACCACATAAGGCTTTATAATTCTGAGCAACTTACATTGATAAAAGGTCATGAAACTAAACTCTCTGTTACCATTTTAGACAATGTTTTATAGAATGAACACTAATAAGAAAAAATTTATAGGCCTTACCAAATTAAAAATTCTTAAAGAAGAGAATATAAACGACCAATCCAAATCATAAAACTATATGGTACAGTGGCGTATCCAGGATTTTCTTATAGGGGGGGGGGGGGGGAATTTTTTGGGGGCTTCGCCCCCAAACCTCATTTACCTGGCCTTCGGCCAGCTTTCCCCCGGCCTTGGGTCTTATTTAGCTATTCTATTAAATTATTCATAATTTAATAATAATTATATTTCTATTTTTAACTATTATTTACTAATTCGTGCTTATGGATAGGATATTACAAGCCTCTTTTTATTATTTCAAGTTAGGTATATTATATTTAATAAAGTATTTTTAAATGTAAAGGTTTTAAATGTAAAGTTGAAATAAAGTGTAATGTCATTTTTTTTATAAAATTTGCATTAAAAACTAGCCTCAGCTTAAATTCTCATACAATATAAGTAGAATATAATTTTTTTATTGAAAATACTAATAGTAGTGTGTTTAAAATATTCATTAGAAAATAATTAAATTAACAAGTTTTTTTAACTTCTTATCAAATACAAGATTTTTAATTATTTCGTTTGTCGTTGGAACCAAATCTCTGTGTATATTTAACAGAGCTAACCCATTTAGCCGAGATTAAGTAATTCATAAATATGTTTTCAACCTTCTCAAGTTGGAAAAAGTCCTTTTATTCGTACATGTTGTAATAGGCAAACATGCAAGAATATAAAACAACTTCGAAATATTAGGAAATTGAGCCAAGGTTTCTTTACACCGATTGAGCGCATCAATAAAATGCTCAGGTAAAATAGCTAAACGTATAAATATTTATACCACAATTCGAATTCACTGATTAAATTTATTTCAGTATCAATCTCATAGGAATAAAATTTTTCTAAATATTAAATTTTACCAATAGTGGCATTAGAAAATGAAGAAGGATCTTTGAGTAATAAAACTTGAAGATTGCTAAAGACATGTTTTTTATCTAAAACCCGTACTTTTATTTGCGATAATAAAGTATCTAGGGATGAAAATGGATATATTATAATATTCCTCAGTTGAGCCAATATTTATTTTCATCTCAATAATGGCCTAGGTGCTAGACGAGGTTTAATTAGTGTTATATCATAAAATTTAGCCTTCGATTCAACGTCTAGATAAATATTATGAAACATTCATTCTTATTGTATCTACCTGTTCATGTATATTTTCCACCAAATCAATAACCTGAACCAAATCTAAATTTGGTTTTTGAAATTTCTACAAAGTAGTTAGCTAAAAATAATTTATTGACGCAACTAGCATCAATGATAAACTCTGATTGATCAATTGAATCCAATAATGATATCGCTGCTGACGACACATTACATTTTTTCATGCTCAGCCTTATTTATAAATTATCGTTTGATTTCAATCTCTTTGATTAAATATTTTTCCATTTTATTAATATTTTTGAATAATATGTTGGAAAATTGATATTCAAATATTTGTAAAATTTTGATTGGTGGTGGGGGGGGGGGGTAGGGGGTGGGGGGGGGGGGGTTAAATTTTTATTAGCTTAAAATGATATTTATGAAAACCCCTTTCCCCCCCATTGGTTACGCGCCTGATATGGTAGTTAAAGCTTCCTCTTAGATGACATGATGGAGATAATTAATCGAGAAAATTATTGTGAGATATTAAATTTCTAAAAGAGTATCTTCCATTTTTAATGATATATAAACGACTACACAGTTGAGACCATTATTGCATATCTAAAATATGCAATCATTTGCTCTCAGCAGCTGTAGTAATTATCTTAAATTACAGAGCCACACAAATAATAGATGCTGGTTAATTTACAGTCATAGCCATGACACTCACGATGATTTATTATGTTAGAATTGATGAAACAAAAACACTAAAAATCTTTAGAATAAATATGCAAATATATTGAAGCCTTGAGTAATTTACACGGCAAGGATGACATATTAGAAATGAAACATTTTGTAACTATAAAATAAGAACCAGTATGATATCATGAAAGCAATTAAAATTTTATATATTATTGTCGCACCATCTCTAGTTGGATATTATATGTTAAAATAATAGTAGTTTGTAAAAATATCTAAAATAGATTCGTATTAAAATTTTTAATCAAAACTGTTTTCCAAAGAAGAAAAAAATAGCATTCCTAAAAACACGTAAAAAAAGAGAAGAAAAGATATCTAATTTATTACATACATTGTGGGATAAAAAATAAGATGTTTAATTATAATAATATTTTAAATAAATAGATGGCGTTAAATAGTTGAAGGCAAATTGTTACTTATATTTATTATCAAAAGCATTGATTAGTAAAATTTTAAAAATATTAACTGTAATATATTATATAACTGTCAAATACGTCTGCAAAAGTAACATTTTACCTAATATTTTATAAATAATTATATATAATAGAGGATTATAAACTATATGCCTACTACTTTTTATAAATAAATCTTATACTTATTTGGATTTGGAATAATTTTAGAAAGAGACATGATAATTGAATTTAAAAATCAATAATATTCGGTTAATTACAAATTAAATTTGTTAATTTTCAATTAATTAATGATTATATTAATTTAATTGGGGTTATATAATAATTTAATTAATAAATGTCAATTAAGATTCAACTGTTAATGTTAAATTAATATTTAATGAGTGGATATTGATATATTTTTAACACAGAACTTGATCGCAAGCTAACATAGTGAAAATATAATTTATATGTATTAATCTAATCTAATAATTAAAATAGTATTCATTAAATAAGATAGTCTTATTAATTTTTAAATAATAAAATTAAATCTATATATTACTCAATAAAATTATGAAAGAAATTGTTCAGGGAGCAATTACAAAATTTAATCTTAATTCAAGGGGATATTAAGGAGTCCTTAAAAAAAAATTTTTTGCTTCAGAAGGCTATTCAAATTTTTCAGGGGCGAGCTCCTGCACGCCCTCTCTCCTAGCGACGCCACTATCTATTTCTTGTTTTAGTATTGCTATTGGTTTGACTATAATTGTTAATAAATTTAAAGAATAAAAGATAGTGATTTTAAAAAACTTTGTTTAAATAATAAATATATATGAAATGAAAGAGTGGCGTAGCCAGAATTTATCCAATAACAAAATTTTACAGAGAATTCCATTATAGATTTTATTTATTAAAATACTATATATAACATCCCATTATTTAACCAGCTGAGTTGAGCACTAAGCGCTCTTGTTTGTCTGATTAAAATTTTGAAATCAATTGTTACTAAAAATAAATAAAAAATTGTTACATGATGTTATCTTATAATATATTATTTTTGTATAATTTGATTTATATTATAATTAAATATATGAATATTTTTTTTATAAAACGATCTTATATATTCTTTTTGTATAGTTTTATTTTATTATATATTGTCCGAAAAAAATAAATATTATTTTTGTATATTTAATTTTTTAAGTAACGAGTACCCAGTTACTTTTTAGAAAAGTCAGTAACGCGCGTTTCTTTTTTGAAAAGGTATATAGTAACGGTAACGCGTTCCTTTTTCAGATGTAACGAGTAACGGTAACGCGTTTCTTTTTCAGATGTAACGAGTAACGGTAACGCGTTTCTTTTTTGCAGCAATACAACACTAGTGTTTTTCATAATTGTTAAGAAATAAACTCGGATAATACAAATAAAATAAAATAAAATATAAAAATATGATTGTGTCCAAAATATATATGCATTTTATTATTGATTACTAAAAATATCGATACTGTTACATTGCATAAGAGGGATCTGTATAATTATAGATAACAATTCTGGTTTATTTACCCTATCCGAATGAAATATAAAATTGTCTGATAAATCTCCCTTAATATAATTATTCAAATAATGTTTGTATCAATAAATAATAAGATTTAGGTTGTGTTGATTTACTTGATTGAAAATTGTATAACATAAACGGAATTAAATTTGTAGCCAAGTTATTAATTATTACATGAGGAAAAATTATAAAATATTATATAATGCCAGCCAATATTCGAAAACACCTTTGTATGATTATTTAACTAAATTATCTGCTTTTCAAGTTTTTAAATCATAAAAACAAACTAATATGGTCCTACCGTGAGTCACTATTGTTATTTATAAAAAGATAGAATAGGAGATATATGAAGATGATGTAAGCGTGTTATATTGCATCGATTCAAAAAATTTTGAATATTGTAAATGTTTTTATATCTCCATGGCAAATGCATAATAATTTAACAAATGGGGCTACATCTAATCTTGTATACCATGAAAAGCAAGTCAAAGAATTGTGTGCCTTACATTCCCTGAATAATCTAATGCAAAAACCAAATGCTTTTACTAAATATGAAATGGATTGTTTGTGTCAAAAGTATAATTTTATGAATTCAAATTTAATTTTTTTTTAAACAATATTTTTATTAAATTATGATGTATCTGTATCAAATTATTTAATGCAGATGTAAATTTATGAAAATATAAGTTCTGTGTATATAATAATAAATTAAAAAGGATATGAATTTTATTCTTGTTTATTTTCCATCAAGTAAAGTGGGGTACTGGGATAATATTCTAGAAAACCTATTTTCATATCTTGTTATTTAAACACTATATCAATTCTAATTTTTCACATATATAGGTTGTTTTAGTTGAAATTTATTTATAGAAATCAGCTTTTTATCAAACCTTAATCAATAAATATATTTTAACTTGTAAAATTTAAAACTTATATACAAAAGTATTTTATAAAGCTCATTATAATTTTCATATATTTTAAGACCTCATACTTATCCCAACCTCAGGAATATTTAGCCTAGAGATGAATTATCAAAATTTATTTTAATAAAAATTAAAATATTAATTTTTTTCTAATATAAAATAAGAAAAAATTAGCTTCAATTTAATTTTGAGTTAAGCATTTTTTTAAAGAAAAATATATACTTATAAAAGTATCTTATAAATTTTCAAAAATCTATATAATTTAATATATCCCAAGTGGTCTAGGGGCTAGGATTTCGCGTTCTCACCGCGACGGCCCGGGTTCGATTCCCGGCTTGGGAATGTTTTTTTTGTTGAAATATATTTATTATAATTTTTTTTATATTCTAACACAAGCATAAAAATTAAACTATTTTAATTTTATGAAATTGTTGTTATTTTAAACATTAATTATTGTTTTAATATTTTTAGAATTACACCGGGCAAAGTTTGGAACCCACATTGCAGTCTACTAGGTTTAGGAAATTACGACATAAACGTGATCATGTTAGCACTTCAAAACAAAGGTTATGAATGCGTGTGGTTCGATAAAAGAAAGTAATTCTTATTGTGTAAATTTTTTTTGTTAACGGTCAAAAATACCATTTATATATAATTTTGAGAAATTTTTTTTTTAAAAATGATGACCTAATTTCAAGGCCTCTGAGTTGATACTCCCCCCCCCAAGGCTTCCCCTTGAGCCTTAATGACCCCAGAAACTACCCATCTAGAAAATTTATTTTATCTAAATAGGATTTGGAATTAACATAATAAAGATTATTAAATTACCAAGAAATATAACATAACATATACAGAAAATAATCATTTTTCAAAAATTAGAATTTATTTCATAAATAAAAGGGTAAATTATTTAAAATTCTTCAAATGGTATCATGTAGTCTTTTTTTAAATATTTTAATCTCACTCATCACTCTTTTGTGATTAAGGTGATTTTGTTAAAACCTTGCTTAATCTGACCAATTCCTTTTTGAAACTATCTTGTATTTTAAATCTACAACTATTTTTTTAGTGTATAATTTTTATGAGTGGAGGTCAGCCCAGGAAAAAATTTTGACCGAAACCGGCAACTTATGCATAATTTTACAGGCAGGTGTGCCATTGAAAATCGGCTGTGACTTTCATCTTTCAAATCGCATTTTGAATTTTTTTGCACAATATTCGAAATAGCGAATAAGTGTAAAAAGAAGCGCTCTTAAAATAATCAGCAATTTGGTGTAATTATTATTTATAGGATAACACTTGCGAAAATCAGGGTTGTTAAAAGATATTTTTAAACCTTCATACTCCGGTTAAAAAAATGACGTTAGTACTCGGGTGTTGTTTAATAGACCCCAATTTCAAATGCATATATCTCCAGTTATATTCATTATTTTCAGATATATGATAGATCTAACCTTAAGCTTGATAAAATATTTTTATTTCTTAAGCCTAGATTAAAGATGATGAGGATAATTATAATTGTGCCAAAAAATTTTTTAAAAAGCTTACTTTTTTTAAATTTCTAATATAAAATTAAAAAAATAACTTATCCATCACATAATCATGATAATTCATAATATGGATCTTTATTCTTCAATATAAAAAAAAATATTCAAATATAAAAAAAATATAGAACATTGAAATATGCTAAATTTGACATGCAAAACATTTATTACATAAAATATTATTGTGTTCTAAACATAAATTTTTTTTATATATTTGACAAAAATATTTTGTTTGGGGAGTATAGTTTTATGTTATATTTTGATGGTTTATTTGGCATGTATTGCCTGAATGGGCATTTTCAAAATTAAAAAAATAACTTATCCATCACATAATCATGATAATTCATAATATGGATCTTTATTCTTCAATATAAAAAAAAATATTCAAATATAAAAAAAATATAGAACATTGAAATATGCTAAATTTGACATGCAAAACATTTATTACATAAAATATTATTGTGTTCTAAACATAAATTTTTTTTATATATTTGACAAAAATATTTTGTTTTTTTATAAGGGGAGTATAGTTTTATGTTATATTTTGATGGTTTATTTGGCATGTATTGCCTGAATGGGCATTTTCCACGAAATGCTGGAAGCATTTCATCTAGGGTTGCATATTCTGATATTGTATAAAATCTGTAGCAGTTATCAACAAATTCTTGAAAAATATTTCTAATGTGAGTTGCTTTGTCTGCCATTTTTCTCTCTCCTCTTGTCAATATGTCATCAATATTGTATGAATTAGAAATCTGAATCTTTTGAGTATTATTGTTACTCTAAATATCTCAATTCCAAACCCATCAGATTTCCATAAATCTGACATATTTTGATGATTTGATTTGAAAATTCCAGCTAAATAAAAAATTCCCAATAATGCCTTGAATTCTATTCATCAACTTCTTTAGTAGAACTTTCATATTGATCAGTGTAGTTTTTACTTATAATTTTAATTTTTTCATTTGTGATAAATAATTTCTTCACTCATTTTTGGTGATATAAACAAATCAAACCATTTTCCTGGGGTATCAGCTTCTTTCCCAAATTCTTTTACTCCTGGCATATGAAAAATTAAATTTTGTTGACGTGTTCTTACTCTTTGATTTACAATCCTTTTTCCATTGAGTCACCATTTTTAGCTACTTTTACAGAGAAATAGATATGATAAATAATTCTATATTTACCTAAATAATATTTAAGTTTATTGTCTGTTTCAACTAGCATATCTTCTTCATCTAATTCAGATTGTGTATCATGATCACTATCATAAATAAAATCTTATTCCTCATTATCAATTACATAGTCATAATCACCTCAAATAAAATTAAATAAATTTTTATTTACTACAATCTGCAAAAATCATAGTATATGATAAAAATAATTTGAGAAATGAGCCAGATGGTGAAAATAAGAATAAAATAACTCCACCAAAAAAAAATGTTTAAGTTTTCTTTTTCATATATCTCAATCAAAGTATAAGATATTTAAATTTTGTTTTAATAAATTTTATAATATAGTAGTATATATTTATAATTTTAAAAATTAAAAAAAAAAATTTCTTAAAAAATTACAAATTTACTCTGGTGGGGTCTCACAAACCCCAATCAGTCACAAAATGCTTATATCTTAAAAACTGCTCAACCGAAATATATGAAATTTGGAATATAGATTCTATGATATATTTGATGAAGCTACTGAAGAACCCAGATCATAATATTTTACCGTTTTTATGTATTATCATTTCTAGCATGCCTGGGGTTTCATATACCCCACCAGAGTATTGAAGGGTTAAATGGATCTAGATACAGATACATCATCTAAAAATGGATCTGGATGTAGATACAATTTTTACCATACTTTTATAGAGGGTTTCGCTTATTATGAGAGCTTAAAATATGTAAACAATATTTTTATATGGTGTTGGAATTGAAAAAATATTAATCCTATTTTTATTAGAACAAATTCTCATTTAAATTTAAAAAATTTTACATTGAACTTATAATTTTTTATTAAAAGTCATGGGAATATTTATTGGTAACTCACTGGAACTCGGGGAAATTTTTAATATTATTTTTTATATATATATTTATTTTTTTAATATTATTTTTTAAAAAAATTTATTAAAAAATAATAAATATGCGATCATCTGGATATTGGTAGAAATTTTTTGATGTAACAATAATTCAAAGCTTCATTACTCAAAAGTTTTAAGAATTTCATATTTTTCCTTGTGAAAATTTTTACAATTCTTTTTATATTAAAAATGGACAAGGTATACTATATTATGCTGCTAAGTTAGCATAATTTTTTTTTGTTAAAATTATTAATTCTTTAATTTTACATTAAAAATAGAGTACATTATTTAAAAAATTTTAAAAGCGTGTGCTATATTGGATGCTACTAAGTTAGGACTATTAAATCAAATAGTAGATAATTAAGCTATTTATTTGAATAAACATAATATATAAACTGACAATATATAGATATATACAATTTTAAGGAAAAACATAAATACTTATATATAAAATTATATCATTTAAAAATTTATTTAATTTACTTAAATTTGACATATTTTTAATATTACGAAAATAAGAATATTCACTTATATATAAATGAGTGGAAGATTTTCTTCCAGTTCTGGTGAATTTAAAAAAATATATTACGCCAATTGAACGAAAAAAGTATGTAATACTTAAAACTTTTGAGCAATGAAACTTTGAATTATTATTACATCAAAAAATTTCCATCAATATCCAGTCAATCGCATATTTATTATTTTTTTAATAATAAATAATTTTTTAAATATTTAAACCGATGTTCACTGAGTTACCAATTATTTTAAAAAATTCTAAATAAATTAATTTGCTTAAAATAATTTTGCGCATCAATGGTATTGTTTTTTATCATTAATGGGCATCGTATTCCTTATAAAAATATCCTTAACAATCTTGAACTGATTGATATCTATAGATTTAATTGAGGGGAAAAAAATAATATTTAATGAATATTTATATTAATAATATTTTAATTTTTTTTAATTATATTAATCTGAATATTTTTATGTATTTTTATAATATAAAAAGCTTAAAAAATATATCCACAGATATTTAAAAGGGTGTATCGAGATATAGATACCATTTTTATATATAGATACTTTAACAACTCTGATTAAAATATGTCACCTGCTAAAAAAATTTGAGATGATATATTTTCAAACTTTGCATTAGGATTAAGGATAGTGGCTACTCTCTCTGTTTCCTTGGTCACAAAGAAAGAGATTTTTCTAAATTAAAACTAATCAAGTTATTTGAAATCGTCTAAGAGCCAAGAGCGGTTATCATAATTACCAATAATTTTATAATGAAGATGCAATTTTAAAAGATTTGTTGTTTTTAGATAGGAACAGCAGATTATTGTATTAAACGAATTTAGAATAATCTCGACTTGAATTATTTAAAGCCAACCTAAATACACGATGTTAATTTGTTAAGTTGTACTTCTTTACAAGTATTTTAAAGTTTTATATTACCTATTCAGCATAATACATATTATGAAAAGAAAAAAACTCGATAAAATAATGGTTAATTAATATCACTACCAAATTAATTTAATGTCTAAATTAAATATCTAGAAATATAGACGAACTAGATCTTTCCTCCATTCTAGGATTCATTCTTAACACCCCTTCAAATATGATGCTTGGGAATTTTAGTTTACCCCTTAAAAGGAGACATTGGGTATGTCTGAGACGTAAGTTTATATTACACATTTAAAATGTCTTCTTTATAAAAATGAATCGATATTTAGCTCTTCGTATTTCGGCAATAAAGAAAGTGATCAATATAGAAAACATTTATTAAATTTTTAAATGGTTTTTTTTAACTTTCAAAATTAAAAATAGCTATGGTCTTCATATTGTATTTGAGAAAGAAAAAAAGACTTTTTTAAAAATTAGTTTAGGTTTTGTTTTTCTTCTAATAATTATTTATAGTGTAGAAATGTTAATTTGGACTTAGCATTATATATAAAGTGACAAGGTGCCCAATCCACCTAAATCAAATTATAAAAAGATTAGAGAGGGATCACAAGCCGCCTCCTATACTCTTTTGATTATCTTGTGAAAAATAAATTACCAGCCACCCAACTTTTTAAAGAAATTATGAATAACCTAAAATATATTTTTTTCTCTTTATCCAGGTATCGGCTCAAATTTTTATAACCTCGACTCAAAATTAATTTCCCCCGAAAATCTTGGAGATTCTGAAATCGTTTTCAAAAATTATTTAAAGGAACAATTGACTTGTAAAGACAAAATTTTACTTATAATACCATGTTGCCCCGCTCATTCGCTATTATAAAAAAATGATAAATAGAATCAATAAGTCAAATATCTCTTAATTATTTTTAAAAAATTTATCACGAATTTTATGAAATATAAGAAGCTCTGCTGAATACAAATTAATATAATTAGTACCCACAGTTATAAAATCCATGTATGGATCATATTCCAGTGGATCTCTCGATGAAATAAAATGATGATTCTCTTGTTTCTACCTTGAAATTTACAACTAAATATTTTTTCTTCTATGTATTATTTGTATAAATTCAATAGGATAATGTTATTCTAATTATATTTTCATCTATTTTAAAATCAACTACTTAAGTTAGTTATCGCAACATCGATAATTAGTATTTTATCACTCACTTTTGAATGACAACTCGCGAAATAAGTCTATCATATATTTTCTTTGTTATAGTTCGCCCTACCCTTTATATATTTTTCTACACCTGAATGTAACCCCTAAAAAACTTAAGAAGTCTAAACATCTATAATCCAAACAAAATATGTTAAAAGCTGTTAATTTATCAAACCATCCAAACAAAATCGCGAAAAGTATTATTAGTTAACAAAACAATTACGTGCATCGTAATTTATTTTACCATTTATACTTCGGGCACCAAATCATATATTAACTTTTGCTCATTTTTTAAAAATGTTATTAAGTAAAATTATGCCGTTTTGTTTCAGTATTTGGAGCATTAATAAGCTTTTTAAATTTCTTATTTTAATTTTTCTTGTAATACTAAAATGCATGAATAATTTTTATATTTTTAAACATTTTGACGGGTTTTTTTTTAGAAATTAGAGACACTATTATCATTTAAATTTAATTTACATTTATATTTTATATAGTATATTATAATATAAGTTGTCTAAAATAATGCAATAATCAATATATTATTTATACATATGTATTTATGATGATTTTTTACTTTTATCATTTCACTAAAAAAAGTCATCCAAGAATTATTATAGTTTAAAAAAATTTTGAGAAGATATGCACGAATCTAATTGACGAATAAATGTATGTCTTAGATATATAATATTATAAGTGCTAATATGTGTTTGTTTGAAAAAATTGAATTAAAAGAATACTTTAAATTTTATTTTAAGAATAATTAATTATGATGAGCTCAATGTGTTATGATATATTTGATTTATGATAAATAAGAAAAATTCAGTTCTCAATTCCCCCAAACTGTTATATAAGGGTGATCAAATGATAAAAATATGAATTATTATTGTAAAGTATTATATCAGATCTGATCTTTTAAATATATATTTCTGATAGTATAAAACAAATATAAAAAATTTATTAACTTTTCTGAGAATAAAAATGATGATTTTGATATCAAATCCAAATGGTACGGTTTGCATTAAAAACTCAGCCGAGTCGGCTTCTCGATTATTTATATAATGTTATTATTTGGTTGGTTGTGTAAAACCCAAACCCGAGGTTTGGATCTAAAAATCGACTAAACCAGCTATGAGCACAAACCCCGAGCCTAGACCCGAGGTTCAGACCAATATATTTAAGTTGTTTTTCATTGACCTTATTAAAGTATCTAAATATATGGTTATTACAGGTATCAATCGATTGCTAATAAGATCTATTGAATAAGTAGCAAGCCAAGAGTCATTTCTCAATGGGGGAAGCTATTACTAATGGGGTTAGGAATAATTTAATCAGCACCAAATATTGATATGATGATGGATGGGTATCAAATAAGCCTAGTTCTACCTTAATATGTTGCATATGAGTACGACCTGGGAGAGGGGAATAAAAATAAATATTAGATTTGATTACTCATATAATTGATAGTGAAAAATATTTTTTCGATCATCGAATGGCTCTAAATGGGCAGGTCTAGATCTTAACATTTTATTTTTAACTTAGTACAATATTAAGAGAAAAATATTTGCTAGATTGCCAAATTAGGGTGGACCCGAATTCGAGTTCAAGCAGTTTAAACTCTATTTAACGGAAATTTTGATAACATGAACTTAATCTAAAACCGATTTTCTAAAAAAAGTTTGAACCCTCTCTGATCCATATTACTCCGGATTGTTGTCCATAAATAGGTCCATGTTTGATCTGTGGTCTCAAAATTCCCAATCAAACAATTTTAAATTTCTGAACCTGAATTCGGGTCCAGAACTCAGGACTAATTAATCTTGTAATATCTTGCACGATTATATCTTTTGATAACAATAGGAAAAACTTCTAACTCAAAAAAAATTAACACTCAAAGTTAATTTACAAATCCAATTGTAGGGATTAGCTCACTAATTTATTGGATTTTTCTTTTATATATATTCATGTCCTAGTTGTGTACAATTTATTAATAATAATTTATAATTAATACTTGTTTAATTATTAAAATTAAAATGTTATTTTATAGAAATGCCAATCAAAATTAATGGTTATATAAAAAAATAATGATTTAAAAAATATAAAATTTTGTGATAATTTTTTTACATTTGATCATTATCGTTTTTTGTAATGAATTGAAAATAATTTTTTTGATAATTTTAATTTGTTTTATGAAAAAGGGTTCCCGTTCTAAATCGCTAAAAATTGGGAACATGGCTTATATCTCCTAGAAAATTTTTAAAGTAAATTTGAAATTAATATTAATAGATACTAGGGGATTAAATACTTGTATTTAAACTGAAAATTTTAAAAAAATCGCTAAAATGGAAGAAATATCCAAATCCCCAATTTGATTCCCAAAACTGGGATTTTGGATAATATTTCTTCCATTTTAGCGATTTTTTAAATTTTTTAATTTAAATACAAGTGTTTAGTCCCCTAGTATCTATTAATATTAATTTCAAATTTACTTTAAAAATTTTCTAGGAGATATAAGCCATGTTCCCAATTTTTAGCGATTTTTGTTTTAGCTATTTAGAACCTATCCCAATTATATATAATTTTTTATTATAAATTTTTTAAGAAAAGATATAACTTTTAAATTGGTGCCGTGACCAGGCCACCATAGATGCTCACGAGCCCAAGATTTCATTTTATCCCGACCCTGATGTCCGGCATGTAATAGATCAATAATTTTACACAGCTCTACTGCCTCGCATTAGACAATCATCCACCACGGACAATTCTTTTTCATATTTTTTTTTTAAATTTTACAATTATTTTTCCACGGTTTTTTTTCCGGTTAAAAATAATTTGATTTGATTCAATTCTTTATCTTTTAAAGTATTAAATTTAATAATTACTTTTTTCGTTCTTTTATTTTTCCTTCTCTTTTCTTGCCTTTTTTTCCACTTTTCTTTTTCTTTTCCTTACTTTCTCCTTTCGCTTTCCTCTATTTTTTTCCCTTTTCTTTTACATTCCCTTTTTCTTTTTCATTACCTTTTTCCTTCCCCTTCTTTACCATTTTGTTTTCCCTTCCCCCTCTTCCCTTTTTAATTTCCTTTCTATATTCCTTTTTCTTTCTCTTTTCCTTCCTTTCCCTTTTAGTTTCTCTCTTATTATCTTTCTATATCTTTTCTTTCCCTTTACCTCTTTTCTTCTCCTTTTCACTTTTCCTTACGCATTTTCTCTTCATTTCTTTTTTTTCCTTTCCCTTTCCCCCTTTCTTTTCTTTCCCTTTCCCCTCTTCCCTTATTTATTTCCTTCCATATTCCTTTTTCTTTCTCTTTTCCTTTCTTTTTCTTTCTTTCTCTTTTCCTTTCTTTCTCTTTTAATTTCTCTTATTATATTCCTCTTTCTCATTTTTTTTCATTTCTTCCCCTCTTCCCTTTTTAATTTCCTACCATCCTTTCCCTTGTAATTTCTCTCTTATTACCTTCCCCTTTCTTTTCTCTTTTCCTTTCCTTTCTCCATTTACATTTTTTCTTTTTCTTTCCCCCTTTCTACCCATTTACCTTTCTCTTTTCCTTTACATATTTCTTTCCCTTTTTTCTTTTAGCTTCTCCTTCCGCGTCTTTCCCTTTCCCCTTTTCTTTTCCTTCTCCCTTTTTTTCTTGCCCTTAAAAATTATAAATCTTGCTTATATCTTTTAAATATTTTAAAGATAATATTGAATATAATATTAATAGATGCTATGAAGTAAAAAATTGTATTCAAATTGAGTATTTATTTTTCTTATTTTTAGCGATTTTTTAATAAACTCAATTTAAATACATGAATTTACTCCCTTAGCATCTATTAATATTAATTTCATATTTACTTTAAATATTTTCTAGGATATATAAGCAGAATTCCAATTTTTTCTTTGTTTTTAGCGCTTTAGAAGGAATCCCTTTTTCTGTCCTTCTTTTCTTTTGCTTTCCCCCTTTCTATCCATTCCCTCTTTTTTCCCCCTTTTTCCCCCTTTATTTCCCTTTTTACCACTTTCTCCATTTGCTTTTTTTTCGCTTTTTCTTTTCCCTGCATTTTCTCCTTCCCTTCACCCTTCCTCGTTTCTTTCCATTTCACATTTTCCCTTTCCCCTTTTCTTTTTTTTACCCCCTCCCTTTTCCTCTCTTTCCCTTTTCTTCCCTTTCTCTTTTCCCTTTCCTCTACTTTTTCTTTCACATTTCTCCCCTTTTTTCCTTTCCCTTCTTTTCAGTTTTCCCTTTTCCTTTTCCTTTACCTTTTTCTTTTCCCCTTTTCTTTTCATTTTTCTTTATTTTTCTTTCACATTTTCTTTTCCTATCACTTTTCTACTACCTTTGTTCTTTCAATTTTCACTTTTTCTTTTCCCTTCCCTTTTTCCTTCCCATTTCCCTTTTCCTTCCATTTTTATTTTTCCTTTACTTTTCTCTTACCTTTCCCTTCTTTTTCCCTTCTTTTTCCCTTTTCATTTCCCTATTTTTTATCCTTTCTTTACTCTTTTTTTTCCTTTCGCTTTTTCTTTTCCTTTGAGTTCCTTTCTTTTTTCCTTTTCATTACTCTTTTATTTCTCTTTTTTTTCCTTGCCTTTTCGTCTCCTTTTCATTTCCCTATTTTTTCTACTTTTACTCTTTTTTTTCCTTTCGCTTTTTCTTTTCCTTTGTTCCTTTCTTTTTTCCTTTTCTTTACTCTTTTATTTCTCTTTTTTTCGTCCCCTTTTCATTACCTTTCCATTTTTCTTTCCCTTTTCTTACCATTTTTCCTATTTCCTTTCTCTTTCCTATTTCCTTCGTCTTTCTATTTTTCTTTCGCTTTCCAATTCCTTTCACTTTTCCTTCTTCTTTCTATTTTTCTTTCTTCCTATCTCGGCATTAGAGTTTTCATTCTTATAAAAATTTTAATTGCAACTGATTCTAACTTTTCATTTTCTCTAGCACGAAGTTTGACCAAAAATGAAAAGCTTCTATCAAAAAAGGAAAAGATCCAATAAAAAGGGAAAATTTCAATTCAAAAAAAAATCGTTATTTTTTTAAATATTTTTTAAAAAAATTATACACTATGACTGGCCTTACAATTCTTGGATAAAAAATTTTTATACATTTATTCACATGGGCCAAACAAAAATGAAGATTAACTGGTATACTATAACTTTTTGTATGCAATCTAGGATTTCGATTAATATACGATAATATAATTTTAAAGTCATATACTTAAAAATCAAATATTTGCATGAAAAATACAATAGCAATAAACGTGTTTCCCAAGGATCTTTGCGTCATTAGTTTTTTTGAGTAACGTACGCGACCCGCCATTTATATTTATGGCGTATTTTATCATTTAAATGATATATTTTTCAATCATTATTTTGATATTAGGATAATATTTAAAAAAACTTTTTTTATTATTCTTAAAATGGATAGATATATCACGATTGGCGTTAAGCAGGGGGCATGAGATGGGCTCAAGGTCTATGTAAACTTGAAAAATTTTAAATTTTTTCTAAAGAATGGGTTTCCTGATTTGCTAATTCCAGATAGAAACTTTTTTATGCTTATTTTAAGATCTTTTCAAAAATGAGCCCCCTCAAATTGTAAAAG